TATACCTATATATAAATTTCAATAAAGAAAACTGAGGCAAGACCTCGCTTTTAAAAAAAAAAAAAAAAAAAAAAAAACAAGTACATATTAAATTCTAGATAACTGCTGTTAAGCTACTGTTAAAGTGCTGTTGGCTTTTTCTTAATAAACATATATAAAATCGCTAAGCCACTGTACATGCAGAAGTTCCATGACCTTCGATTTTCTTCTTTGGTATGACATGTGACATGTTGATCGAACATCTGTATTATGCAATCAATTTTATTACTAGAAATATCAGACATTTTTCTGCAAATTGACTGGAGGTCAACAGATCAAAAAGTTTGACTAAGTACAGGAGCAAGCACGTGCCACCAAATAACAATAAGCAAACGCCTGCATTAATCATGTACCAAAACTGATTAAATGTAATGGTAAGTAAGGCATGAGCAAGCACATGCAAATATGCGGGTATTACCCTATAAGCAAACTAATTTATGCATGCCACAAATATAAATCGGAAAGTAATGATTACTGGTTCAAACATCAGAGCAACGAGGCATATAAATTAAGCAGAGATTGGCAAGCGCCATCTATTACCAAACAACCTAAAAAATTCTGTGTCCCAAGCACCCACCTTCCCAAAATAATAATAATAATAATACTAATAACAACCAAATCTGATCGATTCTGTCATTTGTTTAATGGCTAGCCTGCTTTAGGCAGGCAGGAAACCACCAGCCTGTGTTACATCAACTGGTCGGCAATGCCCTAGTGCAATTGTTGTTATTAATCTCCAGGTTACATTGCTGTCTTAGTTATATATATATAATTTTTATTATATATCGCAGCTATAATAAATAATAAATTATTGCCAGCGCCTTTTGGTGAACCAGCTTACTCCTGACACACCTACTGACTAAGCGTGTCTATACTCTTCAGAGACTATTTTTTATTTTTTTGGTAAAATTTCAGTGCCAAAATCACATGATGCTACCACACAACAAAAAAATATCAAAAATTAGCAATATATCCACATGTATACAGCAGGCCCATATGGTGACTCGTACTATTTTTATTAAATAAAGAAAAGTGATCGAGGATCTTTATCTTTCCTCTTCATTTATCGAGAAGAGTGGTTGACTACCTATATTGTGCATAATGGCATCACTTTCATTTCGTGATAAGGATAAATTTAGCAAATCAGGTATTAGATTACTGTTAGAGACAACTACTTCGTAGTTAGAACTGTCTTGGCTCTGATTATTATTTTGTGCTTCATCTGTGGCCCGTGAGTAAGGTGGTGGTTGGAGAGATAATGTTTCAATTGGAGGCAGAGGAATGTTAATATTTTGCTCAGAATTTCTTATACCAGGGTTGTTTATATTAGTGTTATCATGGGGTGAAGCAGGATATAGTAAATGTCTTTGACTCCTTCTACTAATAATAGATGGAGACTGGTTTATTCGTCTAATGGAAGATCTCATACTCAATACATGCTCAACTTTCTCAATAGGTGGTGCTGGTGTTGTATTTCCCACTTCTCTATTCTATCTACGGTTTGAGGTATTAAGAGTACGGATTCTATCGAATTCATTTTCAGGCCTCTTCCAAAAATATGTACGAAACTCATCAAAGTATTGCGCACCCATTCGATTTCTACATGCTCCACGACTACCTAACATATATTCACACATCGCCTAATCGAGTAATTTAATTATGTTAATAGGAGCCAGATAAAAAAATAATGCTTTATAGTGCAAACTTAAGTTATAACTCCGAACAAGATTCGAAAATTTTTCTTTACAATGATAACCAGTAAAATTAGTATTATGCTCTTGGTTGATTCTATTTGCAATACTATTCTAAAATATGTTTCGATTTCTTCTGTGGCTATGGTACTCTATATTTCTATTTCTTCGTTCTTCGATTAGAGTACGTGTTTGTGCATCTGTCTATTCTATCATTTTCAACCCGAGTTCAACCTGAGTTCAACTCTAGTTCAACTCATATTTATATTTTATTATATATTCATTATGAGAATGAATAACCAAACTTCAACCAGAGTTCATACCATTTTCTATTTCATGTTGCTCAAAAAAATCATTATAACCAAACTCGAATTGGTATTACGTCTGAAATTTTGTATAATTAACTGACTTCGTATGCCTCAGATTTGTATATCTCGGATTTGTTTATCTCAGCCGAGATGATCTCAAATAGTGGGTGTCGTACATTCCTATTGCCGGAAAATTAAATCATATACTTGTAATACCCGAAATAGATCTCTTAAACTTGTTTTATCTAATAAAGTCATTGCAAACCAGTCCCACAAACACGATTAATTTCCTGCATGTTTATTGTAAACTCAGCATAATTTTATACTACTTATCTAAATTTGTAGATCTGAGGCCGGCTTAATATAGCGTGTAAAATTATCATTGTACTCTGTATAAGTATGCTCAACAAGTTATTAACGATCTAATCCCAAATATAGAAAATGTGCAATTGTTGGCATGTTTAATAATTGTAATGCCGAATATAGTAAATATGTAATTGTTAGCATAGAAATTATCATGTTAAATAATTATAACGTAAAACAAAGCGACGTGTGATTGTTTTATGGTGTTAAATTATTGTGGTGACACACAATTGACTTCAATACTGAATATAACAAACATATTATTAGTTTGTTGTATAAATTTCCTAATAAAAGGATTTCTTTCGATAAAGAATCTAATTTATTTACTTTTCAACCCATCAATATTTATCTAATATTTTTTTGCCTAAGACAACAATTACAATGCAAATATCAAATAATAAATGAAAGGGAGAGGTCATTGCATTACAGGATGAACCCACTAAAACCAAATTCTCGAGACAGGCCCGTGCACGTAAAAATAAAAAACTTAGACATGATTAGAAACAAACCGAGATGCTTCACGAGCTGGATGTTAACATCTCTTTGGTAATCGATGATATCGTCTTCGATCCATCTTGGCACCGAATCCAATCCACACCCGAAAAATATCCACTAATGATAGTATTTATTATTTGGAGAGTGAGTGGACAAGTGTTCCTCTCTGTTCTTCAGATCGGGTATCGTCCAAAAAAAATAAGACTCGGTATAACATATCAGCCAGAGAATTGCTAGTTGAAACTCTAATTAGAGAAGCAAAATCCTTTGACAGTAACTCTCTTGAGTTGCCTGAAATTCCATCAAATTTTCTCTCTCTAGTCTATACTGATATTATTAGAGAGACCGATATCGGCATTGAGAGATCATCACCTAATACCACTAATAATCGATTGTGGGTTGCTTTCGGCCAGTGGTTAGGCTTAAAGAGGCAGGATGGTCTATTAAAAAGAAAGCACATATGACAGCACCTCAGGTTGTTGTGGAAAAAACTCCAGTACAGTCATGATATCCAAAGTGATAGGGACTTTCAAGATCTTTTCGATACAGCTACTGCACATAATATTCGAAGAGAAAAGATTCATCTGATCATATTAGCACGTCATAATCTCTAATCAATAAGTAAATTGGTCTAATTCAAACATATAACAAAATCAGAGTGTATTACGGATCTAAGTGGTCGAACATTAGTTCACTTAGATCAACTTGATGACTACAATGCCGTCATACTTGCAACTAATGCTGTAAATAATTATTATTTTCATATGTTGAAGCATCCTTCACATCGAAGCGATGAATTTTGGACCAATTTTATTAAACATTTCGGAGCTTATACTAGAAACAACTTGCTCCCTTTTACAAGCTTCAATACTGCAAGTACGCATAACATTGATCATCATAAATGTATCAACAAATTACTTCAGGGTCTCAAGGCATTATCAGACTCTGTCAACCGGTTCCTTCGAGATTATTATAGAGATTTACATGCAAAACTAAGCAGGTTGTCATGGGGTTCATTTGCGCCAAAGCCCTTTGGAGTTTTCCCAATGATAGTTATCAATTTTAATACCACTAGTAACTATCATTGGGATGAACATGATGAGACAAATAGTTTATGTGTCTTAGTTGCATTGGGGGATTACGAAGGGGGAGAGTTATGTTTCTCCTAGCTCCAGATGGTCGTACATCTTCGGCCAGGACAAATTGTAGCATTTGCCTCATGTTTATTACTTCATAGCAATTTTTCAGTCACTAAGGGGATCCGGCATAGTGTTGTTTATTTTGTACATGACACATTTTTCCACCATTTATGGAAGTTTACTAAAGTTTATAAAAAGGCTGAAATTGAAAAAGATAGTGGGCCAATAGTTTCTGAGCAGGACCTTAATAATGCTCAAGGTTTAAACCATCATGAGCAACTTTCCAAACTGAAAGCAAAACAAATACAGATCCCTTCCACTGTATCTAATCAAAGATGAGAATATATAGGTATGGATAGTTTTATTATATATAGACAAAAAACATAGTTATTAATAATCAATGTTTTCTCTAGATTTAGCATGTGCCCGATGAGGGTTAAAGGCAGAAGATCCACTCCAGTAGTTATGCTTCATGTGATATATGTACAGTTGCCTCCAAAGTTTAGGATGGTTATACAATAAACTTTAGTAAAAAAATAAAAATAATAGAAATATAATAAAAAATATATTATAAACTGTACGTGTGCCTTCTTTATTAAAGTGCGCTTAAGAAGTCTTACTTTCTTATCACTATTCACTATTTACATTTTTGCACTGCATTACTTAATATCATTTCTACTACTATGTTTATGTGATGCATAAGTACCACAGGTGGGATAATGAAATCAATCATCAAAAATTCAGAAAAATTACTATCGAAACACAATTTGGTTGTATGTTGTATGAATATTTATGGCTTATTGTTAGGTAAACCCGCCCCTTGAAGATGCGCTGAATTATTGCATAATTGATATTCTTATTATTCTTTTCTAGTCAATAATACATAGCTCAAAAACAAACAATAGTGGGTCGGCAAGTTACTATAGGATTTTAAGCCCTGGCTTCCACTTATATAAATCCTTTCCCCCATATTTTTTAGCTATAAATTTTATTGCTCTTACATGCCTAAACATTGTTTCTTTTTCTCATTGGATCGTTTTTGTGTTGATAAGATGACTTCTATAGCTACTTGACATGAGTTTGCTTCGGTGAGTTGTGTGATCAAACATGCGCACAATCTTTTTGCTTTAACAGAGCAGATAGCTCAGTGCTTTGGCGATGGTAGTTCATTTGTTCCGCAAAAAAATGCAATCTAGCTGTCTTCTAAAAATATAGTCTTCTTTAGTCAAGCAAAAAATTTCGTTTCTACTACTGAAGCGATAGAGCCTCTGACTATGTGTATTAATGTTTTAGCAAAATAATATGGCACAGAAACTCACATTAAATGGTTTAGGATCTGCATACTTCCTTCCTTGAAAGCATGTCATATATTTTTTCCATTTATTTTTATATATAAAAACACTATTACAGAGGGCGTGATCGTCAGCTATTATTGTCTGTATAGTGAGGAGAGGAAGATCACACAGGCTTCCTACGGTTTTGTCTACTGAACTACAAGATGAAAAATAGTTTGAATATATCCACCTTGCTTTTTATTTATTATACTTCTTTCTGGGATAGTCATGCAAAAAATTTCATCTAACTTTAGATGATAGGACCTTTGACTTCATATATCTAATCGATATTCATTTATTACAATACCTCTCACAAAAATTGAATCCGAAATTAAGGAAATATTAAGTTAATAAAATCTAATAGGTCTATAAACCATATAATCGTTAAAAAAATTATTGTTGAATAATCTCAAATATGTCAGGTCTTAGTATTTCTATTATTATTGATAAAAAAGATAGAACACTACCTAAACCCTTTAACAATCGTCCTGGGTATAATATGAGGTATGTGCAATCATATGTCTTAAATTATTGTGGTTATGGTGGTGAACAACTTGAATGACTTTATGCAACT